TAGGATCATGCTATGACGTATTCAGAATTTGATCTAGTTGATCTTTATTTAATAATATGAGTTTTAAATCTGCTGGGTTTTATAGTGATTACGGAGAATGACAACAGAGTAACACCTTTTTATGGCTAAGCCAGTTAATCTGGCTAGCCTTACTTCTGCGATTTGTCCGCACGTATTAAGCATCTTTTGAAAAAAGTTCGATTTTGTCGAGTAATGCCTGTTACAGAATGAAAATGGAACGAAAACACTATCTTCTGACTAGGCTAGCAGGGTGCTTTGTTGGAATGTAAATCCTTTGTCGTGCTTGAAGACCTGTCTGAGAACTAAACAAAGAACTTATTTGAAACAAACATCACACCAACACAACGCGCCTGTCTTGACAACAGATCGTTTCATTTTCCCACAGTGGTCACGTACTTGTCTTGACTACAGATCGTTTCATTTTCCCACAGTGGTCACGTACTGAAAGTTGGGAAATTATAACCCCAGAACTGGACCCAGAGGCAAGTCACGGAAACTAACTCAGAACTGGGTTTGTAAGACCGACCGCTGAGCAATAAGTATCCACGGTGTAAACTGTGGCTGATATCGATGCATCTGACTGCATTCCCCAGAATCCTGATATCACAATGTTCGCGTGTATACGTAGCTAAGAATGTTTTCGTGACGATTCTCAATTTAACTCTTAAGAGTAAAATTAAATGAAAAATTCAACTTGATTGACAAGCTGCGGTTTTGTTTGCGAACGAAAGTACAAAGCACTTTATGTTTTTGCTAGCAGAGAAGCTCAAAAGAGGGTATTTGGAAAGTAAGAGAAAGCTCGTCCTCCGATTTTCTTTGATCCAATTGTTTCGTTTCTCAGTTTCTTCCAAGGAGATAAAAAATCCATAAAAATACATTTGTGTATCTTACGGCAAAGTTAACATCTACATAGTTTCCGACTTAGTCTATTAACCAGTTATTTTGCTGTCTACACCTTGAGCAAACACCAGCCAAATATCTTAAGGCCCATAATAGTGTAACCAAATAAAAAGCAAACACAAGAAGCTCGTGTAAATCTTACATTCTTTGTGAGCACATACCTTGAAGATTCCCGTAGGAAACGATCTTAGTGAGCTTATGAAGCCAATAGACAGTATTTTAATTATGATGATTCACAACGTTCTAGTTTGAAATAAAAGCAGAAAATAATTTAAAACTTTCAAAACAGATCAGGCTCAAAAGCACTACGAATATATTTCATTTATTCTATGTTTGATAAAGGTGAGTTTTTTCCTCGACATAAGAATTTTTTGGTTTACAAAGATGACAAACGATGAAGCTCTGCATGTACGCCAGTCTATCTCCGATATTAAGCCTCACGTCACAGTCTTTAAGCTTTTACCTTTTTAAGCGAAATTTGATTTTGTTCATATGAGAAGACAACTCAGCATGAAAAATACGATGAATCATAAGAATATCACTTTCTTCACCTATGTAATCGAGCCGAAGTTTCTTAAGTGGCGATTTAGGAAAAAATTCGCCAAAGCAACCGCGCCATCTCGGTCCCTGTGTTCATGTGAAAAATAACAAGCCACGATGAAAAAATTGATTTTTTTAATTTTATCTTTGTTTTAATATTTTTGAGGTTCACTTTAAGACTAATGTTTTGTTCTAAAGGTTTTTGATGCGCCTAACGTTAAGCGATTGGAGCAAATCTAAAATGCATCTCCCTAGAAATCGACCACATCTTCTCAACATCGGTAAAATCGTATTACATTATCCAGAAACTTGCCAATTTCTATTACTTATCTTATTTTCGGCAAGTTAAATTTTAACGAAATCAATCATCATACATTGGGTGCAGTGACTTAGAACAAAACTGCGTGTAGCATTCATCCAGGTTCACAAGTAAGACTTCAGTTGCCTTGACAAATGCATGCATCTTAGTTTTCTCCTGTGTTACTGTAGGGTAATTCAGTCAGGTAGAGTTTAATCTAGTATGGTTCCATATGTTTTTAAACGGTTACAATTGCGCGTGTAAATTGCATTTGCAAGTTTCGTTTTCACAGTCGATCACGAGATTTTCAGCAGCGAGTTTTTGTGGACGTCACAGGGGTAGAGTTAAAAACGTTACCAAGCGAAAGAAATTCTTCACAATAAACTTCAGTATTCTATCGCACTGTTGGAATCAATGGTAGCCTATATTTTAAGCAATAAAGTGACGCAAAACTAACATAATTGATATTTGAAGACGAGCATGTCAAAACAGAGAACCACATGACTCATCGTTTCGATTTACCTTGTACCTTTTGCCACTTGTATACCAGCAACCTCTGCAGCGATTGGCAACTCTGGGAAAGGTCCTGCCTCTTTCTCAGTTTTTGTCTTGCCGCAGTGTACTAGAATAACGGGCGACTTTCTCGATGAATTATTTAGTTTGGGTGCGCGTGACATATCTTGTCTGATCTTGCGGTTTCAGGTGTCACGGCTGTTATGACGCAACGCTTTGAAGTTTTAGCACTTTAGACGATTCGTGATTTCGCAATGATGGGGGGCGTTGCTGTGAGCGGAAGGTGCAGCAATTCTTTATCGAAACAGGTGCCAGAAAGTGATTCACAATAAATACGTTCATAGTAGAAAGAGCAACAAGAAGAAGAAGAAGGACTAAAACAACAACAAAAAACAAACAAACAAACAAACAAACAAAACAAATAGGAAATAAAGATTTTTTTCGACCGAACACCTGGGGTCGCTGTTGTTTTTGTTTGCACCTCTTCGACTGAGGAAAAAAAAAATGAGGTAAAAGCAAAACTATGAAAAAACAAAGAAATTTTAAGGACATGTAGTCTCCCTCGCAGCCGTTTCTTTGGATGTCACGCAACGCTCCCCTAAAGTTCTTTTCCGTGAAACGTTTATATTTTGACGTTTTCCTTTCGGATCTAAAGTATGAGAAAATTCCCTCCTTGAGGCAATTTCTATTGAGCATACACCTGCGTGCACTATTGAGTGCGAGTGCCTTTTTGGAAAACTTCTTGATGGATGAGAGTTGATGATCGATTCCATTTCGCCGCAGTTACCTTAAACGGAATTCTAAGACAAGGATGAGGTCAACATATGTTAAAGTTCAAACTGCATGCGTTAGTGATGTTGTTTTAAACAAAGAATCATACTGATTCTATCATAATTCAAGTATAAATTCATCGTGACGAGCTGAATTTTCCAACAACGTTCCACCCATCAATGATATCTAACAAAAAAAGTATTTTACCCTTTGTGATGACCGTTAATGCCCTAAGAAACCCCTCCGCCCTCCCCCCTCCCTTCCCTTCATCTTTGCTAACAAAGCCCCCCACAAAGGCGTTGAGTGTATAATTTTATTCAAACGACATAAAACTCAGTCGGGTCAAAGACCATCATTTTATGCAAATCCTGAAAATCTATTAGCAACTATTACATATGGTTAATGGCCAAGCTCACCGTGGATAATTGGTACGTTATGGCTGTATGATCGGCAGCCTGTCAAGGCTCTCAAACGACTGAATGACCGATAGTCGGATATTTTTCTAAAAATTTAACAAATTGAGAGAAACTACATAATCCAAACTATTATTCGTTGGCGAGCGATCCCGAAGTGATTTATAAATCTCACGTCCAACGCCCAGTCATGTCTAACGCAGACCACAGGGTACGGCTGGAGCCATGATGTTGCAGTTATTGACACGTAATATTGCGTGAGGTCGACAGCCGGTCACGGTTCTCTAATGACAAGATGACAGGAAGTCAGAAATGTTTCGAAAAACTTAGGGAAATCGAGACAACTTATACAATCTTAACTATTACATGTCGCCGAGGAACTGCTAAGCGATCTCGAGGAGATGTAGATTTATAAATCTCATGTCCAGCGCTCGGTTTAAGCTGACTCGGAATACTTAGCGTACGGTCGACTGTTGGTCACGGTTCTTTAATAACTAAATGACTGTCAGTCGAAATTTTTTCTTAAAATTCAAGAAACCGAGGGAGACACCCTATAAAATTCAAACTATCCTGTATCGACGATGAAATCCTAAACGATCCCGAGGAGCTTCATAACTTTCATGTACAACGCTTAGTTTACGCTGGGCTGTGTCATCATCCATTATTTCATTCCAACTTCAACTTGCACATTACAAAGGAAGGATATGCTCGTGAGGAATCTGTGAACTGTTGCGAACAATTCACATGATCAACTTTATAAAGGAAAGTGCCACCATCTTCCATCATGGAGATAGCCAATACAAGCTGAAAAACCTCATATTTATCTAAAATTTCACTTTTCTCTTCCTTCTTTCAAAGACGTAAATTTTCCGTGACTCAACTGGAAATTCCTTGACTTTTCCGTGACCTCTTTCATAGATGTAAATTTTCCGTGACTCAATTTGAAATTTCCTGACTTTTCCCACGCCTTGAAGTAATTTTCAATTTTTTTCCTGATCTGTGACAACACACCTACCATTATCACACTGGAAAAGAAACACTATTTCTTCTTAAAAAAGCTTCTTGTTGAGCGTAAAAACAATGAAGGACAGGCGCGATCCGCTTTAAATCCTGCGAACTAAAATCCTCGTCTTCGAACAGTTCAGAGCACATTTTGGTATTAGATGTTACTCTTATGTCTTGATCTTATGTTATTTTAAAAGTACATATCTGTTTAACTGTAAAGGAAAACGGGGATAACTCTTGGAAATAGAGATGAGACAGAATTATTTTTCCGGCTTTCTGACTATCTACTCGTGCAGATTAAAACCGACACAAATTCGTGCGACTAGAAGTTGAAGAAATGTAGCATGGATGCTTAACTTCCAAAGCTTAGAATCCTTGGGTTATCTATGAAAAGACAAATCCGAGTTTGTGGAAATAGTCTGGCTGTTACAGACGCAACGAAAGCGAACCATTCTCTACGCTTCGCAGTTAAAATATTATAGCCGCGACTGTTGCTTATTATTTCAGACCACGTGACAAATCAATGAAGCATGAAGCTATAAAGGTCGATTCTATTTTTATTTGATGAAATACTGAAATACCTGTTTTCAATGAAAGCCTTTTAATTGAGTCTACTCTAAACAAAGCACTCGCGATAAAGCGATTAACTGCACTTTTATGAATTCTCTAATATCCTATTACTGTTTGTAGTGCCACGCCAAGTTACTTATATCTCCGGAAAACAAGGGGATGAGATCTCCCTATTATTTTCTGTGCGTATGATGATTTTGTTACACTATTTGATGAAGAAATGTCAAGAGAAAACATCCTTAGAATCTAGTGATTACCCACTCGAACACAGATTTTGGAAATAAAACCCGAAGTGTCATCTAAGCTAAAAGACAAATCGGGGTTTCTCTTTAGTTGTGGCGGTTGACTGGATAGCTCTAGCTCTATTTTTTATTCGCCAGTTGTTTCAGGGATATTTGCGTCACTTATGACAGAAGACATGTGGCAGCGTAATCCTTAATTGCTGTTCCACTCTCGATTCCCATGATATGCCCGATGTGTAATAATTTCATTGCTGCGTATAATCCAGAGTTCTTTTTCCTGTCTGTAAACCACGCATGCGCAGGTTCACATTTAACGATACATGTTCGTGCTTCAGACTGGCAGGTGTGTTCATAGTTTTTGATACGTAAATGAATCTTCAAATATTTATGCGTCAGTTTCTGGAAGTCATGCGGCTGCCAGTCAGTCAGTAACGCCCTCACTCAGTAACTTGATAGTTAGTCAGTCAGTCACTCTCTTGGTAAGTAATCAAACAGCTAGCCACTCACTCAGTAACTAGTCAGTTAGTCAGTCAGTCAGCCATTGACTCACTCAGTCACACTCTCAGTAGCTAGTCAATCAGTCGGCCGGTCAGTCAGTCAGACAGTCTGTCGGTCAGTCAGTCAGTCAGTCAGTCAGTCAGTGGGTCGGTCGTTCATTCAGTCAGCCTTAATTAGAGAACAAAGTGCCAAGGAAAGAAAGAGTGACAGTTTTAGAAATGACGAGTTGCCAAAGTAAGCTAAAAATTTGTAAAATGCATAATTTTTTGGTACAAAGTGAAAGTTCGACTTTGTATTTAGCTTTTTTTTTTAGCGAAGAATTTCGGGTTAGCATGAGTGAGCTTACGTGTGTAACTTTCTGTTGCTTTAAAACCGTGCTCATCAAGCTCATTTCGATTTACCTTAGCAATTGGCCGCCTAAGCTTAAAGCATGTCCTCCGCCAGCACTTCGTATCTTGCTCAGTAATAGCTTTCAACGGATTATAGCCTAGAACCTACCTGCTTAAGTTCTTTCACAGAACATTACCAATTTCACATCTGATTTCAATCAGCAAGGATAAATATATAAAGAATAAACTTTGGAAGCAAGGCTAATAATTTTTGCATCCGAATAATATAATGTATTTTGAGTAAACAACAACCACCAACCACTGATTAAATTTCTCCTCCGTAGTTAAATGGTCAGTTCCTATCACCAAAATTAATAAATCTCCGGATTAATTGGGAAAATCTCGGAATGCTAGAACGTTTCTGACCCACGCACCGAAGAGGACAGCGAAATATGCCGTTGCAAGGTCAAAAGTTATTTTGCGTGCGAATTCCAAGCGGATCCTAGTATTGGATGAATACGAATGTAAAACATCAAACGTAAAAACGAACTCGGTGGTTCCCTACTTTCTTTTTCCTTCAGAAAACGAATTTTTTGAGCAAAGTCGTTCTGCGTCGCACTCAAACTCCGGATCCGTTCCGAAAGATATCTTGGAACTCTGGCCCCTGTTGCAGAGGGATGTACTAGCTGCAAGTACTTGGGATACATGTATGTAAATATTTTAAAATTGTCGAAGAATACATTTCACCGCATTCATTTTCGAGATAAACCACTATATATCCCGGAGAAAGCCTCAACTTCCTCTAACGTTATACGGAAAATCTATCTTACAAAATTATGAATTACTGTTACTATGTCTTTAAGACGTTAAGTACAAGTAAAGAATTTAACACTTGATGTTCAAGTTACTAAATAGGCGAACTTGGACATTGCTCAATACATTCGCCACAAATTGTCAAAGTTTGTTTGAAAATTACATGAACTCTCGTTTTGGCTTTGGTTTCGGTTTCGGTTTCGGTTTTAGTTTCGAGGCTGTTCTCGAATCTAAAAGAGTAGGATTGCTCACTGTGGTCGCTCAGCTTTGCCGTTCCTCCGGCAATGGATTATTTTTGCCGCTGGCCACTGACTGATCTAACATATCAAGTACCCTTAGGCTCCTCTCAGCTGTAAGTCGCTCTTTAGGGTTGCTCAACCAACACGTCTCCATAACGATTTTCCACATCCCCCAGGGGCCCATGGGTTCGTGAGTTCCTTCGATATGACTTGGACGAAGTCCATCTTTTATTAGATCTAGAAGCTGGGATTGTGAATACTGGCTGAAAATCTCTGTTTGAAAGGCTGTCTCCGCGTACCACATCTCCCAAAGTAATACACCAAAGCTGTACATCTCAGCCTTTTCGTCGTAAATTTCGCCAGCCAATACCTCAGGTGCCATGTGAGGAGAACCCCACGACGTACCCGATATTTGCTTTCCCTGCCTGGTTACATCGACACCAGATAGTTTCACTTTGCTATCAGCTGTCAACTTAACAAAAGAGAACTGAGAGTGACAAAGAAGTCCGTATGTTTAGTTAAACTTCGCAGTGACGAAAGCTATTGCTTAGATTCTGAACGGTAATGTAAGGTTGTGGCTTCATTTGACTTGTATTTTCAAAGCTTTCAGTTATGTAGCTATTTTAAAGATATGCTATTAGCTATTTTAAAGATACGAATAACTCTTTTTTTTTTTTTCCTAAGTCCGTGCCATTCTTTCTAAACCCGAATCACTGAAGATCGCATAACTTACCAATAGATTTTCCAGTTTAAGATCTCGGTGGACATATCCTTGTTGATGAACATAAATCAAGGCATCTAGGATCTGTTGAGCCCAGAGCAACACACTTTTGCGCATAGTTTCATCTTCGGAGTGTGCGGGAGAACTTTCAGAGTGGGATATGATGTGTGTTTTGAGGGAGCATTCACAAAGCTCCAAGACAATCACCACTCTTGTAAGGCAGGGAGATGGTAGGAGATGTATTCCAAAAAACTTTACCATGTTTGGATGGTCAAGAACGCTGAAAGGTAACAAATGATAAAAAAAGACCATGTGGATGGTTATTATGTACCTCTGGATTGTAAATGAGGTCGAAATTGCACTAAATTAGACTTTGACGTCAGGAAGAAATTGAGCTCATTAATTTAAGAACTACACTGGAATTTTGTGATACTTGTGAGAATAAATGACTGAGATATTTATTATTGATCAAAAACATTGCTGAGGGCTTTATCCTATTTTAGCTTATGTTTTACATTAAAAGATGCAGGATGGGGTTGAAATTATTTTGTTTAGTCGTTGATTCAAAAGCATCTAGTGCTTGGTTTGATTTCATTAAAGTGGGGTTCCGTGTCCTTCCCGAAAAAGCGTATTTGAATAAATGCTCTTGTGCATGTTTTTTTATTTTAGCTATTCGGTAGACAATACAGCTTGAAATGGCAAGGTAGAACCCAACCTGAGAACTTCTTCCTTCTCGGTAAAACGCCTCATATTGGTGTTCTCAATAGGACTATTGTAGACTTTAAGCGCCACCTGAGTTTCTGGTTGTCCCTCTCGATTGAGGACACCACGGTATACTGTGGAAAGGTTTCCTTTTCCAACAATGGATTCGTCATATTGGCTCCATTGTATATGTAGCTGCCCCGCTGAGATATCCGAGGTTCTCATGAAGGTGACTTCGAAAACTGCTATTTCTGTCCTCAATATGTCCACACGCGAGTTGATAGGCTGGTAGATTCCCTGGATTTCGAACGCGCTCCTCGAATCTGCAAGCAGTTGTCGATAAAACTTTTTATAACTTTGTCTCAGTTTAGGAACCTTGGCTTTAATCTGAACCAGGAACTGAACGGCATCATCCAACTGCTCAGTTATGAAGGGGAGCAAGCTATCTTCTTTCGCAATAAGCTTCAGACATTTCTTGGATTTCTTCTCCACGTATAAACGTCGATCATTACGGAATTGTTCCAACTTTCTTTGGTATTGGAATTTCTTTTTTAATTTCTGTGTTAGAGCAGCCATGAAAGGAGTAGTAAGTACTACCGAGGTCAAGCCTTGTCGTAACCACAATGGAGCATTGCTTGATCGATGTTTTTCCGAAAGTCTGCTCTTCCTAGAGACTCGCTGCTCTAAAGATTCGCCACTGGAACTGTCCTCCTCTGGATTTCCAGGAAGAGTTTCTTCGTCTATCTTTCTGATATCTTCTTCCATGATGTCATACTTTTCAGCACAAAGTTGAATCAGGGCATCATGACTCTTGGCAAAAGGATGTTTCTTGTCTTCCCATTGCTGCACAAATTCCCTGGCTCTTTCAGAAATGCAACTCAATACTTCATGCTTAGTTTCTTCCCAAGTTCGTTTAGCCTCAGGGATCTCGTACTGGTCCCACTCACAAAATTTCTTCTCGATTTCATCTGATTTGAAATAAGTGATAAGATCAGTAATAATACCTTGGATTATTTGCCTCTGGTATTCACGTAGCTCGTCAACAAGTTGGTCCTGTGACTTTTCTAGTTCAACCAGTATATTCATCACTCGTTTCATCTTTCTCTCTACTTCTTTGCGTGACATGGTCGTTGTTTTCAACAAACTGCAGATTTGACTAGACGTCCGAGACAGGAGATCTTCAAGCCACCTAAAGGATTTTCACAAGAAGGATTTAGACTTTAGTATCTTTTAATTCATCGTACTCACTCATGCGATTTCGTAAAAACAACCTCTCCTCAGACATGAATGGTGATGAAAATGAGCTAAAGTAATAACTCAAGAATTATTTCACAATAAACTATAACGACATCGTTCACTCTGCTATTCATTCCTGTAAAGTAAATTGTAAATGGGGTAAAAAATACTTCATAGTAAGACATCCTTGCTTTTCAAGCTCAAGCAAGTTAAGGTGTTGGCGTAAACCTGTCATAAAACGTGAAATGTTCCGAGTACATCTAAGCTTTAAGGACAAAACTTTATCGTCTTAAAGCTTCAGTCTGTGGAACTCATAATGATGAGTTGAAAGAGTATTCATTGCGGGTGCATAAAGCACTATCAGCTAGAATGAATTTTTATGTTACTAGTTATCTTTATCTTTGCTCACCTGGAGTAAATCTGAAGACTGTTCTGCATATAGGACACAACAAGATTACTTATTCCATCCAAAAGCTTATCGAATTCCTCTGTGATTACGCCATAAGCCTGGGCGCTTTGAGCTTTGTTGCAAGATAGATAAAAAATTTGCTTCCCCGGATCGAGGTCTCCAAACCTTTCAGTAAGTGTTTCAAGTTGCTTTTGCTTCACTTGCTCGGCATCATTGGGAGGAATTTCATCCCACTTGTTGGAAACAAATAATGCGCACTTGGTGAATAAATTTTCGTTCATTTTTTCATCCTTCTTTAGCCTTTTCGCTTCGCTGAGTAACTCGAGAAGCTGTTTTGGGAAAAAAAAAAGATCAAAATGTTAAATACGGTCGCTGAGGTAAAAGTAAAAGGAACTGTGGACGCTAGAGAACTTATAACATACTTAGTGACTGCTATCACTAAAATAGCTGGTTTCCCTTGCATTGTCAGAAATTTGGGACAATATGGCGGAGGCTATTCTCGTGTTACAAGCAAATTGGCGCCGAAACAGTTTAAGAAAATGTATGGGAAAAGATTGCTTTTTCAAAATAGCTGTCTAAGAATGGGATACTCTTTAGCTGCGTACTTGAAAATGTTGCCTGCATCGGTTAAAGCGTCCATCGCTACGAAAAAGAAATACTCAACCTCAAAACTACCTTTTCCCAAGGTATATGAGTAAACTCATAATTCTGACTCCATTTTTCCCATACAAACTCTTAAAATGTGTTACAATTCTTTTGTCGTGGGAACAACCTTGTGAAGATTCGCAACTGCGTAGTTCGATGCGCATTCTGCAGAAGTTTTCTCAACTAAATTTCTCGTAAACGGTTGAATATGTTGGCCCACAAATTTTCCTCGAGCCGGGAAACTCTTCGTATTTTCACAGAGCTCAAAAGCCAAATACGCCATTTTCAAACACCTCAATTTTAGGAAGGAAGAACACGAAAGATACAAGTCCCAATAACAGCACAATTTGGCCACCATTTTCCTTGTTTTGACGTCTCCTTTGGCTTTCTGGGATTGAAAGGTACCAGACCTCTCTCTCGTGGGGTTTCACGAAAATAGAAAGTTACGCGTTCACTTCAATTCCACCGCCGCCATATTGAATTTTCTGTCATACGATATCCCGCTGACATTTCGCAACGGGCTCGAAATGCACCCGATTTCTGGTGATGTCCTCGGGAGACATTGAGGCTCGTACGTAAAACAAGGCTAATCCCTGGAAAACAGAGTTTAGGTGTTTCATCGTACCATTAGAGAAACAGCAATAAGAAGAGAAAGTGAGGAGTTTCAATAAAACAATTACACTGAAAATTGAGGTATAATTAAAAAGGCGGACGAATAAGGATAATGCGATGCTGTTCGAAGAAATGAGATGAATATGGTGTGATCTTGTGGGAAAAATACAGCATGAGCCACAGTATTTTCGCTAACGCTGATAGTCTGTCTAATTATTATTTTGATGGTCTGAGTTTGGGGAAAAAATTAGGAGAGCCATAAAAGCTTACCCTGTCCTTCTGAACTCCACCAGAATTGGCACTATTTATCACATAGATAAAGCAAAAGGCCTCAGACAGGTAGTCCAGCACAATTTTATTCATGGCTTTGTTTTCTCCAACTCCAGGACTATCAACAATCATAACACCTTCCTACATGGAAAGAAGAAATATCCAATTGCTAGGTAATTTTTTTTTGCTAATGATAATTTCTGATGGAAAATAAATATACCTCAAAGATGCTCAAAGATGAGTTCGCCATTAACGATAAACGAGCCAATGTGAAATGGATAAAAAGACGAAACAAAACAAAACATGTTGCTTTCCCTTTTAAGCCAAAGGCCTATTCAGAAAAGACCAGGTGATCCTTTCAAATCAAATCAAACCGTAAGATGAATAGGTGTTTGTTTAGACTAAACTTTTGATAGCAAAGTACAACTCGAATGTTTGGTGAATGAAATTCTCATTCGTGTCGTTTGATCCTTGCAAGATCATCCCCTTTGTGTTCCAATTCTGGTCTAAGTTTAAATTAAGTGCAGAGCATGTAATTTTTGCTGAACGACGCTTATTGAATTCCGTTATAAACATAGACTTGTTTCTTTTACCTAGGCAAGACAGCGTTGTAGTTACCTTAAGCAATTCATGTGGCCAAAAAAGTTCCATTTTCTGATAAGGAGATCCTCTTTCTCGTTCTTTTTTTAAGTTGACAAACTGTTCTAACACTTCTTTTAAATCATCCGAAGAATTTCCAAATTCCAGGTAAATGGGTCCCTGTTTTTCGTGGCTTTTCTCCTTGAAGTGCACGCGAATAGCTCGTTTCTCCCCATATTTTAGCTCACATATGGTAGATGTTGTACTAAGAGTCGAAGAGGGCAGGAGTTCCTCCCCAAGAATAAGGTTGATAATGCTACTTTTTCCTGCACTGGTTTCACCTGTTTTTCAAATATGATATTTATTAGTGACATGACGAAACAAGGGCAAGCAAGATAAATAGGCGAATAATAACGTGTAACAACAACTGTGAGATCCAAGCTATAGGGACAAGTTTTCCAGCTGATCAGGTAACTTCGTTTCTAGCAATATTAATTGAACGCCAATCAGAGCGCTAAAACGGTATATAAAAAACTCTTAACTATGTAGCACGTTCTTGAAGTCAGTGAATTTGACTTAAAAAGGTTCTCTTCTGTTCGGGATTACTGAAAAAAATTGGCAACTAGAGTTTACATCCTAGAAATGCTTTCCAGTACATTTTATGAAGACATACTGCAATTCGCAGTTATGCAGCTTCTAGCTAGAGAGTTTATTTAGTGTGCTGACTCGAGCTTTTGCTGATGCCTGACGTTTATGTGACTCCATCACTTCGTGACTTGTATACAGTGTTTAAGATGATTAAATCAGTTGCCAGTTGTGTTATAATTGCGCTTGCGATTTGGTATCACAGCATGTGTTCAGTTTCTTCTTTTCTTTTCTTTTCTTTTGAAGCGATTGTCCCAGCAAGTTCGCTGAGCTAACACAGACCTTTCTCTAAGTGGCTGTGTTCTCCCTACCTGAAATACCTATGATTGTCCGTTGTAAATCGGGTAGGGAGTTATAATGATAAAATCAACGATCTTTCCTGGTTTTGTTGTGAATTATTCCCTTTCACAAATTTATGTTTGATTTGAAAAAAAATGTAGTGTACCGAACTTTGATGAGACAGACAAAAAGGAATTGGTTAACGAGTCAGCACGAATTAATAATTCAAGTTTTCGCTCCAAAATTTTCCTGCTGCTTAAATAATTTAAGTGGAGGCTTTCACCACCCATGTAACAGCTTTGAGCAGTGATTGGTCCATGGAGATTTTGGGCAATTTTCGGACTTATGTTTCACTTAAGGGAGAAGCAAAGGAGGAATTGAAATAGAGACGTTTCAACAGTTGACTGTGCATGAATTTGAATTAATACAAAATATAACCCAGTCGAATTAATTTTCAGGCGACTTACATACATACGACTTCAGGCGACTTCTACGTTTTTCGTAGGTGAAAAGCAAAGTTGACAAAATAATTTGCACGCAAAAAAAAGGGGGAGGGGAGGAATGGGATATTTTTGGAGGGAAACCCCACTTCTTCCACGGAATAAATATTATGACCTATTATCCTCACACATTTCTTAACCCACGATACCAAAACATAAATCATTCGATTGAATTTCTAGGTGGCTTCTACGTTTGTCCGGTAGGAGCAAAGCAAAGTTGACAGAATAGTTGTACAAAAAATACCAAATAAAATCGTTGATTGTAGCATTACCCCTCCCTTCGCCCCGGATTAAACGGTATTTCCGGGCACACGTTCTGTAGCTTTTAAATAATTTCCTTAAGGTACACCCTAAGTAGAGACCTTTATGATCTAACAGAGCAAAAAATTTTTCTTCCCCTCCCCTCCCTGTGTAGTCGCGTGAGTACATTATTCACGATACTAGTCCGACAATAATTCCATTTTCATGGTGAATTTTAGATAAAGCCACCTAGCACGATTTTACCCCACATCTGAGTGGGATCATGTTGCATTATGCATAAG